ACTGAGTGCCGAGAGAGAGAGAGAGAGAGGAGGGCGGAGAGGGTAGGCCGGGTCGCTGGGACTCGGGAGCAGGCAGGGTCGTCGAGACGCAGGGGTCGTGGAGGAGCGGCGGGGGCTCGAGGCCAACCACCGCGCGGGGGCCTTGGGGGAGGAGGGCGACTGTCGGCGTGCTCGAGGCCGGCGCGTGCACCGCGACCGCGTGGGGAGGCGAGGAGGAGGTGGGCGGCGGGGCTGGCAGCGGTGGAGCTCCAGATCTCGGGGGTAGGAGCTACGCAGGCGGTGCCCTCCCTCAAGCGATGGAGAGGAGATGAAGAGGGCTGAGCGAGATGGAGAGGAGAGAAAACAAGGAAGGGAGGGAGTCGGCGGATCTGCCCGCCCACGCGCTCCTAGCCTCGCGCCGCCGAGGGAGAGTGAGGGAGGGAGGTCGTCGTACCTACGTCGGATCTGAGCGGAGGAGGCACGGCAAGGGAGCCCGCCGCACGCCAAGGGAGAGGGTGGGAGGGAGCCCGCCGTGTACCGAGGATGAGGGAGAGAGGGAGGCCACCGGATCTGAGCTGAGGGAGGGAGGGAGAGGGAGAGGGAGAGGGAGAGAGATCCGCACGGGGAGGGAGAGATGGATGACGGGGGAGGGAGGGAGGGCGCCGCCTGGGCTCGCCGGCATCGAGGGAGGAGGCCACGTCTGTGGTGCTCCGACTCGACGGTGGGGAAAGGAAGGAGGAAGAAGAGGCGGCGACACAAGCCAGCACGAAGGAAGACGAACTGCGACGGCGTCGGCTCGGGGAAGACCTCACGACGGCTCGAGGAAACGAGGAGCGGCGAGGCTCTCGACGGCGACGACGTTCCTCGGGGAAGGGGAGGGGCGGCCGTAGCGTGGCGCGATGCGAGGTAGGAGCGGGGGCGTCCGCGAGGGAAGGGGAGGGGGCGGGCGGCCATCACGAGGCGCGACGCGATGGAGTGCGCTTATATATGAGGAGGGGGGAGGCGGGGATGGTGGGCCGGCCACGCTGGGCCGCGCTGGGCCTTGGGGAGGGGAGGAGTGAGGAGGGGGAGGGGGAGGCCGGCCGCTGCCGGGCCGACCGACGCAGGCCGGGCTATGTCGTGCCAGCCCATGGGCCTGAGCAGCGGCCCAGGCACGGCCTGCTCCCTCGGGCCGGGCCAGCCCAGGCCCGCAAGTCAGTAGGCCGGCCCGTGCTCGTGTGAGGCTAAAAAAGCGGGCTTCGTGCCGTGCCGTCGTGTCTGGGGCTGCATGGATATTTATATTAGGGATTAAGGAAGTACCAGTGCAACAACTATTTGGAATTCCAAGCAACTTCGGCGCTACAAATGCGGCTAGCATCTCACCGGATGTTTTGAAATATGTTTTTTTTTCTGATCATGGGGCGTATCATTGTCTGATTGATCTTTTCATGATTGAATGGTCCTTTCTGAACTCTTTGGCCATCCTTTCCCCACATACCATCATATACAACTGCTAGCGTGCAGTTGCATACATATAATAATCTCTTAAAATCATACACTACTCCTTAAAAAACATACACCTCGAGAAAGCATCAGAAACTTTTCCAGAGGCGAGGGATAAAAAATAATAAAAGCAAAACACTAGCACTTTGATACTCCTAGACATGGAAATCAATCCAAATGGATTGCTTCGTTTGGCCGGTGGCCTTCTACACGGTTTTCAAAAAGATAACAGAAAAGAACGTGCAAATAATGGCCTCTGCACTTGCAAAGCAGAGGCCCCTTCTTTGTGCCTTAGCATATTTTCTGTCCTTTATTCCGGTATTAGGTAGAGATGCAAAATGTTCTACTCGGTTTCGCGAATCCCCTTTTTTGTTTAATCTTTGACTTTGCTGAATAATTATCTTTTACTTCTAGTAGAAAAATTCGGTAACTTTAATTCATCTTTATCTTTATACCAGAAAGGGCCATTCGGTGATTGGCCGGTTTCTGATATTTATACATAATGCAGGGAATACTAGAAGGTGCATTTCACCTAAAAACGCAATCAGTTGTTTAAAATAATAGGAGACGAATCGAAGAAATAGTTGAGGGAAATTTGATCAACATGAAGCAAACTTCGACAGTTTTTTCGTTTGTCGTTATGTTGCATGATAATGAAGTTCGTTATCTTTTTTTAGGAAAAAAAAACTGCTTCATAGAGATAAAAAGAAAAAAAAACATAACTCAATATACAATCATAAATAAGACTTACAAAAAAAAAGTAAGTGACGCTAAGAGCCTATTTGGTAGGGCTTTTGGAGCGGCTTCTACTCTTGTTTTTTGCTGAAGCCAAACGGCTCCTTTCATGGAGTCCAGAGGAGCCAAAGCTAGAAAAATATGGCTTCTCTCTTGGATCCTCCCCTCAAAGTTGATACAATTTATTATAAAACTGCTAGTGGAGCTCTTTTTGTCAAATATTTTCTAAAATTGCTTCAACTCTTTTAGAGAAGCTGCTTCACAAGAAGAACTAGAGCCAGAGCCCTTTTAGAGTCGGAGCCCAGACAAACCTGTCCTAAGAATGATACAATGCACGTTCGATGGTAAATCACCTTGCAAAACCACCTAAATGGTTATTTACAAGGTACTATATAGTTTAAGATTTATGATGCCTGTTTTTTTTAGGTTGAGGATGAAGTACAAGACCTAGCATCTTCATAGGTTATTGTCCTGTTCGTTTGGCTGATAAGCCATGGCTGAAAGTACTGCTGGTTGATTTATTGTGAGAAAGAAAATACTGTTCATTAGCTGAAAAATACTGCTTATAAGCCAAACGTACATGACATATATTGACTTATCGCGGTGCCGATAAGCACTATCTAGTAGCTTTTTCAGGTGGAGAGCTGGCTTTTCCTGCTCCTTGGTAGTTGGTACACGAGCAAAATGCTAAGAGACTTTTCTCTGTGTGCCATTATAAAAGATCTTAATCATCTGTGTGCCTCTGAAAAAATTCAGCGGTCTTCAGCGCCACTACTCTAACTTTTTCGTGTCCTCCATGCCACTTCCGTCAGTTTGGGCTCTAACGTCGTCAAACTGCAGGTGTGAAAAGACGAAAACACCCTCAAGTCTAAATATGTTATTAACTTTTTTTAGCATCTTAACGACTTTAAATAAAAAAACTCAAAACTAGAAAGTTGTAGATCTCGTCGAGATCTATAATTTTCATATAAAATTTATTTTCATTTAATTCCACAAAAAAATGATGATTTTTCTAAGATATATTAATTATATCAAATCATATTTTTTTACGACCTTGAATGGAGAAATGATCAAAATAAAAATTGTAGATCTCAAAAAGTTATGAAACTTTGTTGTTTACAACTTTTTCGTTTGAAATTATTTAGTGCTTCAAAATTTAAACCGTCCAAACTTTCTCAAATAGAAAACTAGTTTGTAAGCATCAAAATTTAAAAATCACAAATTTGAACCATCCAAACTATCTCAAATGGAAAGTTGACCAAAACAACAATTGTATATCTTGATGAGTTGAACAAACTTGGTATTCAAAACTTTTCAATTTGAAGTCATTTAGAGTTCATAATACTAGAGTCAAAGTGTTGTTTTTTCATTTGACCAAATTTGACTTGGTCAAACTTGCTCAAATGAGACACTAAATGACCTCAGATGAAAAAACTCTGAATACCAAGTTTGATCATCTCAGCAAGATCTACAGTTGTTACATAGCTCATTTTCCCATTTGAGAAAGTTTTATCAAACTCTAGTCACAAATTCTTGAATCTCATATAGACTTTCTGAAACTATGTCACACACTTGTGAAATTTGAACTACATTTTGTTCAAACTTTCTCAAATAAAAAAATAGCCTATATAAGGATTGTAGATCTTGAATCCATGACCATGACTCCATGAGACCCATGAAGCCATGAGCTTGGCTATTTCTACTCATGCCATGAAGATTGGTGCTTGTATGATGTATCTGTATCTTTATCTTATTTGTTGCTTTACTCTTTAGTCTTTCGGCTTAATGTAGATGGATTATGGACTCATAGAGTGGTGTAATGGTTTGCGCACGTATGATATATATATATATATATATATATATATATATATATATATATATGCTGCTTTTACTCAATATCCGAATAGATATTTATATCCGACCTTCTCCGAATCCGATTCATACCGTATTCGATACTCATTATTCGTATCCGTAACCGAGTCAATCCGTATTCGTATATGTATCCAAACGCTATCCGTGTCCGAATCCGAATCCGAACAGAAATATAAAAACAAATATAATATGAGTGATATCCGTTCGTATCCGATCCGTTTTCATACCTAGTGCCTAGCACTAGCGGAGGCATCCAAGGGCAGAAAGAATATCTTGAGGGGATCCACGGTGGGTCGACCTCGACCCTATAAAATGCCGCATCACTACCTTCCCCTCCTCCTAGGTCCCTACTCCCTAGCTGGTCCCTGCAGCACTAAGCTTGGGAGCTCCTCCATTGTTTGCAGCACTGCTAACACTCTTTTCTCTCTCCCCTCCTAGCTGTTCTTCCTTTCGGTGCTCACTGCTGCTGTTCAGCTAATACAGTGTTAAGCTCAATTACCGTCGTTTCCTGCAAAGCCTCGCAGCTAGCGCACTTGTGCCTGAACTCGGCCTGTAGCAGGAGAGAGTGAGGAAGCAGCAGCAGCAGCAGAAGAAATAGTCAAATCAGAGGGGAACCAGGGGAACCAAAGCTCCAAGAGGGGAGTGGCCTTCGACCCGCTTCCAGCAGCCTCGCTCGCGGTCGTCCGGCGCTCGAGCTCCCAAACGGCGGCCAGCCCGGCGGCCTCCTTTGGCAAGAAGGACTTCCACCTTTTTCTTGGAAAAAAAGGCTTTTTCTCTTTTTCTTCCTCATCATCCGTTTGCTCCCCCCAAAGAAGTTGGGAGCTAGCTAGCTAGCGGCCCACCGGCCGAGTTCCGAGCCAGCAGGCTGTAGGCCTTGGCAGCACGCGCGCGCGCTCTCTCTCTCTCTCTCTCTGTCTCTCCACTCTCCAGGCATGCCTTCAGCGGCATTACACCTCGGCACGGCGCTGGAGGGCAGCTTCCAAGGCGCCGGCGACATGGTGCCGTCGGCGCGCCTCCTCACCCCCAACGGCGGCGCGGCAGCCGGGCCCGCGCCGAGTCGTCGGGAGGAGACGGCCAACGGCGGGGGCCCTGACCTTGCCACGCTCCGGCCCACCAACAGGCCGCGCGGGAAAGCCCAGGCCGGGAAGCCCAGGAAGCGGGCGCCGATGTGGAACTTGCAGGCCGCCGTCTTCGTGTCCGTCGTCCTCAACGTCGGCCTCCTCCTCCAGCACTACGTCAATAGCACGGCTCCGTCGCACCACCACCACCAGGAGCATCTGCAGGCCTGCCCGATGCATCTGGATGCTGGCGTCGGCCGCAACAGAAGGGGGAGGCAGGAGGAGCCGCAGCTGTCCATGCCCAAGGCCGGGGCGCCGTCGACGGGCAAGCCGGCGGTGACGCCGGACTCGGTGATCAACCTCGACCAGTGAGTATTCAGTTCAAATCTTTCCTCCGTTTCTTGCTGCCGCGTTTGCATGTCAGCTCCTTCGTTCCTCAGGTCAGTTGCTTCACTGCTTCTGCTTCACTGGCAGTCCCCCATCTCCTTTGTTTAGAGGCAGAGAAAATGTTATTTGATTTGAGAGCCGTCTCATTTTAAATGGGGTAGCATATCAAAAGTTAATTTTTTGAGTTTGGTGAAATGGCTCTTTTCTCATATTAGTACTCATTATTAACTGGTTTGGCATATAAGTGATGTTTTGCAAACTAAAAAAAAATAAAGAGTGCACCAAACAAAGAAAGATGGACCAAACTAGAAAAGCGAAAGGACAAGACCACGGACGAGCACAAGGACATACAAAGATTCTCTGTCTGAAGTGATACACTAGTTTCATCGTAACTTGGTTAAGAGTAGCCTGACAGTCTCTGTAGTCATTTGATATGTGATTAGTTAAATTTATCATAGTATATATGGTTTTATTTCTGATGTCAACATATTTTACTTGTGTTTTTATCTAAGTTGGCCCCTCCTTAATTTTGTGCCGTGCTCCGTCGCTGCATACGACTGTCTAGTGATACACTACTCATCGTGGTTCAGACCTCCAGTGTCGTATCTTTTTTCTAGAAAAGTTAGGATACACGTTTGCACGTCCTATGGTACTGGGTGTTTCCCCACGTAGAGTCTCTTAATTTTTTTTCGTGTGTACGGACACGTATGCATGTGTACGTGTGTGTTGCGAGTATGGAGTGTGAGGATTGGTCGTGTCTAAATTGTACTCAATAAAAAAACCAAACAAAAAAAGTAACAAAATATATCTTCAATTCTTAATGTATATCAAACATAATGTATATATCTAAATACGTAGAAAAATTATGAATTTTTAATGCATCAAACCTAATGATGTAGATGCGTAGAAAAACTACATACCAAGGCAAAACGATTTTTAACCAAGGGAGTACTTCGTTTATATCAAACATCCTGTTAATTTTTTTTAATACAATCACTCTCGAGACTCCAACCCTATTATATTTGCAATTTGCGGCTGCGGCTGCGGGGAGGTGTTCTTCCCCACAGGGTGGGACATGTCCCTGTGCAATGTTGGTGTCAATGGAGAATGAACTGCTGTCAATGGAGAATGAACTCTGGTGCGCGGATCAAATCTACCTATCCCGAGACCGCGGATTTGCTGGCGATTCATGCACCTAGCTTGTTTGATTGATGCTTCATTTGTAGTGTTAGTTACCACTGCTGCGGATTTGCACTATTATATACTATGGCTTTGACATTCGCGTTGTCGGGTGCAGCGGCGACCCTACCATGTTCGAGGAGTTCTGGCGGGGGACGGGGTCCGCCGCCGAGATCGTCATCCCGGGGTGGCAGACCATGAGCTACTTCTCTGACGTCGGCAACGTGTGCTGGTTCCTGGAGCCGGGCCTGGACCACGAGGTGCGGCGGCTGCACCGGCTGGTCGGCAACGCCGCCGTCGACGGGTACCACGTCCTCGTCGGCACCGGCTCCACGCAGCTCTTCATGGCCGCGCTGTACGCGCTGTCGCCGCGCGCGGGCTCCGCCGCCGGCGCCGCGCCCATGAGCGTGGTGTCCACGGCGCCCTACTACTCGGTAAGTTCCCCCAAAACCCAGAGTCCCCAACAAACAATGGATCGGACACGGAGCTACAACGAAGGCCGCCACGCGTGGTCCAGCAGCAAGAGCGAGACGCATCGCTGTCGCCTTCGCGCTCTGTCGCTCGCTGTGGCGCGTGAGTTTGCTTCACATTGGTAGCCTAAATTAATTAACGCATCGTACTGATGAATTGTCGCGTGAAGAGGATGGCAAGATCCGTCATTATCTTATCATTCCCCACACCCCCACTTAATGATGAGGAGATAGAGCAGAATTCAAAGCCGTAGAGGACTAGAGGGGGACACTGATGGCGCCACTCATCTTTGTTCCCTCTCCCTTGTCCCAGCCCAGAAACTACCACTTCCAGCCAGCCTTCCTGACTTCCTCTCCTCGCGCTCTCTGCTCATGTGATGAAGCATATGGGCTGCTGCTCATGTCTCCTCCTGACCCTGGCCCTGATGGGGATGGCATCCATCTATTATCGCCGCCGTAGGGCCGGGCCGGCATTACTGTGCTGTGATTGCCGATCTGATTTGTGGGCAGCCGGAGCCGACATGTCTTGTTAAACAATGATCCATCATTAACAGCTCCCTTTCTAGAATCAGATGAGAATCTTAGTGTGTACTTGTGGTTAGGTTTGGTTAGGTTAGGTTAGCATTATGCATGTTAGGCGGGAGACCTGCCCTCCTTCGAAATTGAGCTCCACTCCATGTGCACAGCCAGCGCCGGCAGGAATATTGCCTGCTCACCACATGCCGGACCGGCACCGGCACCCATGTATATATGTTCATGTGCCATGATCCATCTCTGCTAACCTGGGAGGGAGAAGAGGGGAGCACAGGGATTCCATTTTCTACGTTTTCGGTCAGGCCTCCTTTAGATTGGGGTTAGAAATACTGTAGCACTTTTATTTGTATTTGACAATTATTGTCCAATCATGACCTAACTAGGCTTAAAAGATTCGTATCGTAATTTACAATTAAACTGTGTAATTAGTTATTTTTTTATCTACATTTAATACTCTATATATGTGTCAAAGATTTGATGTAACGGAAAGAGAATGAAATCATGTGCCATGATCCATCTCTGCTAACCTGGGAGGGAGAAGAGGGGAGCACAGGGATTCCATTTTCTACGTTTTCGGTCAGGCCTCGTTTAGATTGGGGTTAGAAATACTGTAGCACTTTTATTTGTATTTGACAATTATTGTCCAATCATGACCTAACTAGGCTTAAAAGATTCGTATCGTAATTTACAATTAAACTGTGTAATTAGTTATTTTTTTATCTATATTTAATACTCTATATATGTGTCAAAGATTTGATGTAACGGAAAGAGAATGAAAAAACTTGCAATCTAAACAAGGCCAAACATATGTGTATGCACCATATCCAGTGCTAAATCATGTGTTCAGTAATGGGACTCGGCGTCAGAGTCGACAGTCTTAAATTTCCCATACCCTGAATTCTGAAGCGAACCATACTAGTACTGTACTCCGTACATAATAATTTCATAACAAAACGAAACTGTCCGGTAGTGAGTCAATGCACTGACCTGATCTGATCTGATCTGTGTGCTGTGCACCGTGCAGTCCTACCCTGCCGTCACTGATTTTCTTCAGTCGGGGCTCTTCCGCTGGGCCGGTGACGCCAACACGTTCAAGGGCGACACCTACATCGAGCTGGTGTGCTCGCCGAACAACCCCGACGGCGCCATCCGCGAGGCCGTCCTTTCCTCCGAGTCCGGCATAGCAGTCCATGACTTGGCGTACTACTGGCCGCAGTACACGGCCATCACCAAACGCGCTGACCACGACATCATGCTCTTCACCGTGTCCAAGAGCACAGGGCACGCCGGGACGAGGATCGGGTAAAGTTGATCGATCTCGCCGTCGGTGAAAGGTTGCTGGGACGAGCAGCGGCAGCGGCTGATGTTCCGGTGAAATGTTTCCGCGTGCAGGTGGGCGTTGGTGAAGGACCGCGACGTTGCGAAGAGGATGACCAAGTTTATTGAGCTCAACACGATCGGGGTCTCCAAGGACTCGCAGCTGCGCGCCGCCAAGGTCCTCAGGGCGGTCTCCGACGCCTACGAGCTCCCGGAGATGAAAGAGGCCCACCGCCTGTTCGACTACGGCCGGCGAAAGATGGTGGAGCGCTGGAGCATGCTGCGTGAAGCGGCCGCCGCCTCGGGCATCTTCAGCCTGCCCGAAGAGACCTCGGGCTTTTGCAACTTCACCAAAGAAATGGCAGTGACTAACCCTGGTATGTACTAATAATGTACCCCATTGTTTCTGAACCACCAACGAAGGCACTGCTCAGTGGTCACCACTCGCTGAACGCCCATGGCGTACGTGCTCGTGCTTGCAGCGTTCGCGTGGCTGCGCTGCGACAGGGAAGACGTGGAGGACTGCGCGAGCTTCCTGCGCGGCCACAAGATACTGACGCGGAGCGGGAGCCAGTTCGGAGCGGACCCGAGGTACGTCCGTGTCAGCATGCTCGACAGGGACGACGCCTACGACATCTTTGTGAAGCGCCTCTCCTCTCTGCAATGAAGATGATCTGCCACGCAGGGAGATGGAGGAGGATCCGATGCCACCCGGCCGGCCTCGGCATGCCGGTCCGTGGGACTGTGGGAGCATGAGTAGGGCAGCAGTCTTCAGTAGGAAGACGCGCAGGAGGAGCAACGTTTTGTTTTGCTTTTTTCTGCTGTATGTTTTGTGTTGTTCGGGATGTCGCATCATCTCAAGATTCTTATAAAGGTTTCATTTTTTTCCCCTCTTGCTGATTGCCATGTGAGACTGAACTGACGTAACAAAAAATCAACATAAATTGGAGAAAGGACAAGAAAAGATTGTTGGAACCTCACTAAGTCACAATTCAAAAAACGGGGCAGCTAACGTCCGGCCATGTGGACACGTTCGGACGCTGCTCCTGTCAAACGCACCACCACGCCTCGTCCCGTCCCCGCGTAAAGGAGAGCGCCCACCGCGCCCGCGTCACCCGCGACATCCTCGTCCCTTTCCCCGCCGTGCCCTGCCGCCAAGCTCGAACTACCGTGGCAGGATGGCAGGATGGAGGGAAGGGAAGAGAGGGGAGGGAGAGGGAGAGGTGCGCCGCACGAGGTAGGAGCTGAAACTCTGCGGCAGGTCGCTGTCTGTCAGCCACGGGCACCATTGCAACATGTGCAACACCCGATCTACTTTTTAAACATCCACATGAACACATTTGCAACATACGTCCGAAGACAAATGGAACACTTGAAACATGCATTCGAAACACTTGCAAAACACCTGAAACACTTGAAAAGTCATTGCAAACATACGCAACATCCAGATAAAACACTTGCAACATACGTGTAACACATATGTAATATCTAAATTAATAAACACGCTTGCAACATACATTAAAAAACACTCCCACACAGCAAAAGGACAACAAGACCGGTGATGCACTACCACGAGTACCTCCATCTCGAGAAATACAGTTGGGACTGGACCGAGTCCCCGCCTCACCATTCGGGGTGTAGTTAGGTCCCCTAACGAACCACATTGAATTGACTTGGGCTATCCCACTACTCAATGACGTATATGCCCTCCTCTATTTCTTTTGTAACTTAGCCTCACATAGCATTATAACATTATAAAGGAGGCCAGGGTATTTCCCTCTCTACCTCTCGGCTAGATGACACTAGAATCCTCTTGTGGGTCACAATCATCCCACCTGAACTAGATGTAGGGCAGTCCTTGAGTGAGCCATCCAAACAATAAGCACGACAATCAAATTTTACTAGTTGATGCTATGAACCGTCAACAATAGGGTATTACATATGGTAGTAGTCGAGAATGACCGAGTGGGTCGGACCGAGCCGAGTATGGTCAATGGACGACGGCTTGGTCTTGAATTGATAGAGGAGCAACCCTTGACTCCTTGCACTACTACTAGTCTACTACTTCATCACCATTGAAGAAGAAGGTGAGAACGACCAAGAGTGGGTTGCGTGAATACAAGTCCAGCAACATGGTGGTGGAAGGGAAGGCTATATGAGATATCTTCTTCTTCTTCTTGGAGATTAGAAAATCTATAATAGCTAGACACACTGTTGACATACATGTTGTCGGAGGTGGCAAGTTGAACTTGAGATTGTGTAGTCTGTTATGTTTTTTCAAGTTATTTGTAAGGCTAGTAGAAATGTAGAACCCTAACAAAATAGAACAAATTTGTTAGATATCACATTAATAATCGGTAATGCTATGACTCTGATGTCCGACGGTTTCGGCCGCGCGTCAGATAAGGATTGGATACGGCGCCGCGCGTCCTCCTCCACTCATCCCTCACGGCCTTATCCGCTCGCACTGCAGTTCATTCACCAGGTACCGCTCCTCCACACGTTCGCTGCTGCTGCTCCTCTCCTCTCCCTCTCCTCCCCCATGGTTCCAGGAGCGCCGCATGCCCCCGACTGCGCTCCACAGCACCGTGAGCAGGCGGTGGCGCTCCTCCTCACCTTCCGCCCGTCCTCCACACACCTCACTCCCTCCCTGGCCACCGCCGCCGGCGTCCTCTCCCACTCCGGCGTCCTCCTCCCCCACCACGGCGGCTCCTTCCCCCACACCGACGTCTCCTTCCCCGACGCCGGCACCCTCCTCCCCCACCCCAACTCCCTCCTCAACACCGGCGTCCTCCCCCACCATGGCGGCTCCTTCCCCCACACCGACGTCTCCTTTCCCAATCCCGGCGTCCTCCTCTCCCACCTCAGCTCCCTCCTCCCCACCCCGGCGGTGCCCCTCCCCGACACAGGCGTCCTCCCCCACAGGGAGCTCCTAGCGCCCACAGATCTAGCGGCCATGGCATTCCCCGTGCAGGCCCTCTCTCCCCCTATATGTTGCAATTGTATCTTTCAGTTGTTTTAGGTGCTTCAGAGGTATGTTGCAGTTGAATCATAAGGATGTTGCACAAGTAGATCTAGTGAAAGGTTCTATTGGCTAGAGGGGTGTCAATAGCCTATTAAAAATTTCTACAACAACACTAAGACAAATGATTAGTCAATAAGATGGCGAAGCAAATTTTACGCTAGCACTATACTTGGGGATGCAAGCCACCTACCCAATTCTATTTTCTATGATCTCTAGTATATCACAACAAAGCTATGTCACTAATATACACCTAGGTGATCAACCTAGTGAGAGTAATACAATTAAATGATACACTATCTAATCTTAACTACCACTAGCTCTATCCAAGTGAATGTATAATGAAATACAAGAAAATGGTAGAGAGGTATACCGCCGTAGTAAGTGACCAATGAGTGAATACCAATGAATACCAATGAGACAATCAACACACAATGATTTTTCCTCCGAAGTTCACTTGCTTACCGGCAAGCTAATCTCCGTTGTGGCGATTCACTCACTTGGAGGTTCATACGCTAATTGGCATCACATGCCAAACCCTCAATAGGGTGCCGCACAACCAACACAAGATACGGATCATACAAGCCATGAGCAATTTACTAGAGTACCTTTTGTCTCTCCACCGGGGAAAGGTCAAAAACTCCTCACGATCACTACGATCGGAGCCGGAGATAATCACCAACCTCCGCTTGACGATCCTCGCTACTCCAAGCCATCTAGGTGGCGGCAACCACCAAGAGTAACAAGCCAAACCCGCAGCGAAACACGAATACCAAGTGCCTCTAGATGCAAACGCTCAAGCAATGCACTTGAATTCTCTCCCAATCTCAGAAAGATGATGAATCAAAGATGGAGATGAGTGGGGGGCTTTGGCTAAGCTCACAAGGTTGCTATGTCAATGCAAATGGTGAAGAGAGCGAGCTAGAGCCGGCCAAACGATATTTAGAGACACCCCAAACAATAGAGCCGTTGGCTGAATTATTGGGCTGACTGTGGGACGACCGGACGCGCAGGTCGTGTGCACCAGACGCGTCTGGTGTGATGACCAGACATGTTCGGTGTAGCCTAACCGCCATGTGTCCCTTTCAAATTGTTTAGCCATTGGCACCCAACGGCTATCTCTACGCACAGTAATACTATGTGATCGGACGTGTTGTTAGAAAACGATCGGACCCGAGAGACGCAGCGTCCGGTCGAGTCCAAAGAGCTCCCAGAGCCACTCTAGGACGACCGGACGCGTCCGATCACACTGGACCGGATGCTCCCAGCGTCCGATGAATTATTGCGCTGAAAACCCGAGATTTGCTGGTTTACGGTGACCGAATGCATCCGGTCGCTCTCTGTAATCCTGCATCGGGCTATATCACTTTGACCTGACGCTGAACAGTAACTCGTCAGCGTTCGGTCACTCCACTGAACCAGAGTCCGGTCACTTTCACTTAGTCGCTCACCTCGGGTCCAAATATCGGACGTGTCCGGTCACTTCTGTCTGACTACCCTAAGACTAGATAAAATACCGGACACGTCCGATCCTAATTTCGGATGTGTCCGGTCACTCTATGACCAGCACGAATAATGTAACACCCCTGGTGTTACGAACTCGTTTAGCACCAAATTTAGGCCTAAGAAAAATTTCCGAAACGATTTTTCTCAGATTTTAAAATTTAAAAACCAATTTCTTACGACCACGGCAGAAATTTGAAAATATATTTAAAAGCATTGTTGTCCTGGCCGCACTGTCGTTCTGGACGTTTGAGTACAATGGTGCGTCTCTCTGGCTCTGAATAAATCCGTCATCCGAATTATTAACGTCGCGTCGTGTTGTTGGACCCGTCGCCGTTGAAAGGTCCTTGTTTGGTTTTGGTAATTGAGTGACAACCTAGGTGGACTAATTGTGTTTATGTGAGATACACAGGTAATTAGTCCACAGGTACATATGTGTGAGCAACATATGCCATGAAGGTAAAGATGGCGCGGAGATGTTGCCAAGCTCACACATGTGACGATGAAGGAGTTTATTGCACATGAGACATGACATTGAGTCATGTGATCAAGGTGGAGAAGATCAAGACAAGACTTGGCTTGATGGACCAGTTGCAAGCGTGAAGGGCAAGTCAAAGGCTTTAGAGTGATGGACCGCGTGGCGGTGAAGCTTGAACAAGACTTGGCGCCGATGGATGATGGCAACGGTGAAGAGCAAGTGAAGTCAAGATCAACGAACCAATATGATCACGTGATGATATGAAGTGGATCATATCATTGTTGATCATGTTGGTGCATGTGTTGCATCGACATTGGAGGAGATGGAATGGAATGCGCAAGGCAAAGGTATAACCTAGGGCATTTCATTTCACCGGTCATAGGTGTGTAGAGAAGTTTATGACCAGGCTTAGGATAGATGGCCGTACTATCAAGAGGAGCAAACTTGTTTGCATATCGGTCATCTAGTGTCACTCGAGTGATCTAACTTTGCATCGTCGCTAGGATCGAGTGGCGTGGCAAGTTGAGTGGCTAACATCCTTTGGGAAATGATTGTGAAAATATTAACACACATACACATGATGGTATACACTTGGTGGTGTTGGCACATTTATAAAGGAGATAAAGTTGGAGTTGATGTGGATCAACTCGACGATGAAATGGAG